AAGGAAAAAGAAAAAAAAAAAGAGAAAAAAAAAAAAAAAAAAGAGAAGACACACTCAACTTTACGAGGACGCGAGACTGAGCCGGTACACAGGACAATATGAATTCAGCATTGAAAACAATAATTTTGTTGGATCATCATAAATGAATAGTAATTTACCTCATTGAACAAATCCAGCAGATCCACATAGTAAGGCTTTCCTCTAAAGTGCTTCTTCAAAATTCTCGGGATATGGTTTCGAAGTACGATTCCATCATTGACAGCAATCATACCAACCTAGATAAAAGTTAATTCAAGGTAAAATGTTTAGATAGTGATAATCTTTTAGAAAGTAATGGCACAAGATTAGAGCAATTCAAATTTAGGATAACACCTTTGGGACTCTGTACCAGCATGGTTGACCACGTCGTGTTTGAGAATTATCCATAATATCATCAAGGACGAGAAAGTATGCCTGAAGCTGCATTTTCCATGTATACGAGTCAGATCATTGCCTGGAAAAATATTGAATGAAAACATTTCACTGCTTAGAACAAGAGATGAACTGTAATTTTAACCTACCCACTCAATACACCAGCCTAGAGCGCTAGCTAAAAACACTTCGTCTTTAGTTAGGTCTTTTCCTTCCTTAAGTATCTTATAGCTATCAATAACTGAGAGGCCTCTGTTTAACTTCCCTGCAAACCACAATTCATTCTTCAGCATAAATTGCTTCTTGGTTAAAGTATCATACACCTATTATATCTAATAATTAGAGAAGAATGTTTGTTCGAGGAATGTATTCAAGAAATATAGTAAATGATGCAAATCTGACCTCCGGGCACATTGTAGTCCAGCATCTGTTACATATAAAGAAAGAAAGAAAGATCAGGAATAGAAGTTAAACTTAGTGATACTTAATTATCAATGTTCTTGATTACATGATATCCATGTTATTAATGATATATATCTGTGATATTGCTGTGAGTTGAATCCATGAACGATGAGCTAAAAAAAAGAACCTTTCAAATTCAAACTTGACGGCAAAATCATGGCTGATGGTGTCATAATATTCTTGTTCTGAGCACGATAATCATCAATCTAAAAAGCTCCTATAGTAAAATCCAGAAGTCTTTGAACTTTTATTCCAGTAAACGTATTAAGGATGTACGTTGTCCCACTTTTTCAGTAGACATACACTATTACTAAGGATGTTCATAGCAGCACGTTACTCTTCGGTTAATTTTCACTCCACTATCGAAACGAAGGATTCAATTATCAAAAGAGGATACCAACAACTTTTACAAATCAATGCTCTCAAAATTGGTTGCTTGCTTGCAACTTTACACACAGAAAGCATGTTGCAAAATATCAGCATCCCACATTCTAACCAACTAAAGAAACTTTATGTTAAAGTATCTATTTTATAATATCCATTTGCATCACCAAACAACCCACCCCCAACACTAAAATACCACCACTAGTATATGTTCATTAATGTACAGGATTGTTAAAAAGTCACTTGCAGCCAGATTTCAATAGCGAGTCAACCCACCGGTTCAACTCACACTACTCTAGTCTATGAATTATGATACTGTCCTCCGATAAAGTAGGAGCTTGAAAATAGCTCAGTAAATCAATTCCGTTTCCACCCCTTACCCCCTCGATTCATCTCTAATTAATGATAGATAAAATTCCGATCATCAAAGTAAAGCAATCAACAGAGGATGAGAAAATCGCAATCCTACATTAAACAGAAACGAACGCGATGTATAATTAAAATCAAACAAATCTGACCCGCTCGACCCATTGGCGTGAACCTTCGTTCCACTCGAAAGCGGGGTCGCTCAAAAGCTCCGATTTCAGCACCGAGTACACCTCCAGAAAAGTCGCCCTCAGATCCGCCGTCGCTCCGTTCAGATTCGCCATCTATCCGAGTGAGAATCGGATAATTCGCCGGAAAAATTAATGGATGATTGAACGAGTGCAGAGAGAAGATATAGATCAAGAGATGCCACACTCTGCTCGGAACTGCACTTGTGTGTGGTGTGTGTGTGTGTGTGCGCTTTTGTAGTATTTGCGAAATTTTTCACATGCGTTTGATTATTTTGGAGGGCAATAAAGAATTGGAATTGGTCAAATTTTATAGTGGATAACCGAAAATGGGTCTGGCTTTGGCATCCAAAATTGAAGAAACGAGTGGGGTTTGATTGTTGTTATTTGACTTGGTTGAGGGTGTATTTGGAAAAATGGTAATCCTCGTTTGCATCGAGGGCCAATAGAAGGTGGACAGCTGTCGATCTTGATGTGGTGGGTTGGTGGAATAACCACTATAAATTGGCAGATATTCGCCGCTTTGTTTGATATCGAAAGAAAAATCAATTGTCAATTTTGGGGTGCTAACTGCAATAAAATAAAATAAGATTTTTTTGTTTATTTATTATTTTTGACTTGAAAATTGAAGAATTATTGAGAACGTCGATTTTTTTAAAATTTGATAACTTTTCTTATTATATTATTTTATTTAACCGTTTCTTTTTTTTTTTTAATGAGCCTCCTTATATGACAATGGACACATGTGAATTTTGTGTCTTGAACTTAATTAGTTTTGGTAGGTTAGGATTAAATATTGTATTTTTTATGGCTTGTAGAGACTTTTAGAGAAACAAAATATTACAATTGTTCATATTACAATTTTTTATGAATATTTTTCTAGAGTACAAAGTGTTAAAATACTACATTTCAAGGGTGTAAAATACGATTAAGCCAAAAACATCAAATTATTTCATAAACTATTTTAAATACGATGAATTGACCATAAGATGCAAATTTTTTTAATGTTTCAGCCTCCATATATGTGAAGGGCCATGTGATTTTTGTGTCTTGAAATTTATTTTGGTAGGTATGAAATTATACATGTGAACTTCATGGGCTTGTCGATATGGATCGTTGAGTCTGTATCCATTAAATGTAAATATATTTGTGTAATATATACTTAGGCCCTGTTTGTTTAGCAAAATAAGATTAGCAAAGATAAGATTAAATAATTTAATGAGATCCAATTATTTTATTGGAGCTTGAAACGTCCAACAAAAAAAAAACTCATTAGAAGGCAAAATAAGACACGATAATATAATTTTAGGCGGTCGACCCAGCAATTTATTAAGGATACCAAACATTAAATTAAGTCTAACTATGTAGTTAATCATGACTTATCTTGGCAACCAAACGGGATCTTAATATATAATTAATTAATTATAATACTTTGTATGCATTTATATGTTACACTGCATATTTGTTTTAGCTATATTTATTAATTTAACAACAAAAGATTGAGGTTATTTTTAGTGTTCAATTATTGCCTATTTTATTTATTTATTTATTATTTTTATGTAAAGCGCCAAAAGAGCATATTCGAATCTGATCTGCCTGAAACAGCGCTTTCAGAGAAAAAAAATAACACAACTTTCCAGAAAATAAAACACGAGTATTTCCGTAATTCGCTGCCTGACTTTCCGGCGCCGGAGATCCCCTTTTTCATCTTCCATCTCGTCGGTACCCATGGACGGAGAAATATCCAAATTGACAATCGAAGAGAAATCGAGTTGTCAGATTCTAACTCCTCAGACCACTGTGAAACTCCTTGACTCCGTCGACGTGTTTCTCTTCGACTGCGATGGTTCGTTGACGCCTCCTCCCTTTTAATGAATTCAGCCGATATAGTTTTTTTATGTGGTTTCTGTATCTCACAATCGCATCGGCTTTGTCTCTTACCATTTTTTCCTGATTATTTTGTCGATTCAAAATTTCCAGGTGTGATATGGAAAGGAGATGTTCTGATTGATGGTGTTTCCGAGACTCTGGATACGCTTCGGGCTATGGTGATTTACTGATTTAGGTCTATCAATTTAGTTTGAGAGACAGTGTTCATAACTGCTTCATGGCTGATTTGATGTTTGTCAATTGTCATTCATTTAGGGGAAAAAACTTGTTTTTGTAACAAATAACTCGACAAAGTCCAGAAAACAATACGCCAAGAAGTTCCGATCTCTAGGCATTTCTGTCTCGGAGGTTTGCGGTATCGACCGTTTTACTTAGTAGAACTCGAAGTGTGTTTGTTATTAATTCGTGCTGATTGCAGGATGAGATTTTCTCGTCGTCGTTTGCTGCGGCCATGTACTTGAAAGTCAATGAATTCCCTAAAGAAAAGAAGGTTTGTCTTTGGCCTTTCTTCCGCTGCTTTCAGAATGCAATTTTGAAGTTTTTATTCTGGTGCAGGGTATTGATGTAAATAAGTTGCTCTGGTTGACCATGTTTGCTCTATATTAATTAATTACAAGTTCTTTAGGCTCCAATTAGATCATGATGATCCAACTTTGCAGAACTCAAACATCATGTTGACTTACTGGCGAAGGAACTACTATTAAAAGTACAGCTTGTTCATCGTACCTTATATGCCTGTATTATCCTGTAATGTTTGTCCTTCCCGAGTATGAATTTGCCAATGTAAATCTCGGGTATTTAGGTTTTTCAATCAAGGACATCTATATTGTCCCGATAAGTTTAGCTATCGGCAGGTTTTTTACTGAAGAATGAAAGATAAATTAGAGTTATTAAACATATGGAAAAACAATTAGGCACGCGTCAGTTAACCTACCCTGAAGGAACCGAAAGCAATGGGAGAAACGACAAAATACTGAAGTTGGTGCTTCTCTTGGAAGTATCAAATGAACATCATGCCAAATACTAGAATTATATTGTTGTTTGCTCTTATAGTTGCTTAAAATGAGACTCTGGTTCAATGATGATATTGATTTATATAATGATGTAAAAGGCCTCATTTCATTTGTTGGTTTCGCAGGTATATGTAATTGGTGAAGAAGGCATACTGGAGGAATTAGAGCTTGCTGGTTTTACCGGTCTTGGTGGTCCTGTAAGCAAGCAGTTATATTTTATCCTTGGTCGAAAATAACAAACTAATTCCCTTCCATTGATATATACAATCTGTTAATCTTTTGTTAGCTAGATTTCGGATGATCTATGCTATTTTGGATCGTGATTCATTACATACATTGAAAATAAGAAGAGTTTGTCAATTGCTAAATTAGATAGTGTGTACTATTTTACTGTCTTGCTTTTTATGATAGTTAATGAGGATCTTTTCTCGCAGGAAGATGGAAAGAAAACCGTCCAGTTGAAAGCAAACTACCTCTTTGAGCACGATGAGAATGTAAAATTGCAATCTTTCTCCACAAATCTGTTGAAGCATTATACGCTGTTTGTCGTCTGATAGTTTGCTTGTATTGCTATTTCTGCACCAGGTTGGAGCTGTTATTGTCGGACTTGACCAGTATATAAATTTTTACAAGTTACAGTAAGCTCTTCGTTTCATTTCTAGCTTATATTTACATCTATTTACCATTACTCATATCAGTAAACATAAAATAACTTAGAGTCATTGTCACATTACAACCAAAAAAATAGCTAAGATGAAATTCTTTAAGGTAATGGATTCTTTAAAGTGCACTAAGATTCATATCACGTGTAAGGTATGGCACCCTGTGTATACGCGAGAATCCTGGATGCCTATTCATCGCTACAAACCGTGATGCTGTAGGACATCTCACCGACCTACAGGAATGGCCCGGTTAGTTTAATTTTATTCCCTTGTAATACTCCATGTTTATTCGGAAAAGTTAACACACTTGTATTGTATTTTCTTGATTTCAGGCGCAGGGTGTATGGTTGCTGCAATATGCGGTACTACTCAGAAAGAACCAATTGTAGTTGGAAAACCTTCGACTTTTCTGATGGACTTTTTATTACAGAAGTAAGTGCAGATTTGATCAGTTCTTTAACACAATAAATTCAACCATTTATATTTTTGAACCACTTTTACTGGCAATGAGTTAAGATATGAAATATCATGATAATTTATCTTGCAGATTCAACGTCCCTACCTCTAGAATGTGCATGGTTGGAGATAGATTGGACACTGATATTTTATTTGGACAAAATGCTGGCTGTAGAACTCTTCTTGTTATTTCAGGTACAAGGGAATTTTTTTTTTCATTATTACAAAATTTTAATTATTTTTCCGTTAGATACCAAATTTCGTTGTTGTTTGATGGCAAGTGCAGGTGTGACAAAGGTCTCGGATCTTGTAGATCCGTCGAACCACATTCTACCAGAGTACTTAACTAACACTTTATCGGACGTAGTTCGCTTACTCCATGATTGATCAATAGTCATCGATCGACTATTAAATTATGTTTCAGATATATATATATTTTCATTTGAAGGATAGCATAAAACTCAGAAAGTAAATGTCAGTTTGAATTGTTGTATGATTTGAGCCTTGGTGGACTGGAAAGAGTTTCATATTTATGAAGTAATTGAAATTGTATTTTTCTTTTCCAGCCTGCAACGGGATCCTCTAGGTGACCGCAGCATCAGCTACCTCCGTTTCTAACCTTTCCCTAACACCTCTTTTTTTTTTTTTTTTTTTCTTTTT